TTGATTTGAAGTCTCCATAAGATACAGAATCACTACACTATTATCTGCACTTCCCACACACTGGTTGGTTTCCAACCTGTGACTCCCAGTTTAGGAATGTGTTTGCATATGAGATTCTTGGACATAACAGATAGTTAGATCTTGTTTATAATCCAGTCGGTTAGTCTGAGGTTTTTCTTGTCTTTCCCACTTTATAACTACTACTAGTTGAAACCATAGATATAGACCCAAAGACATGGAAGGCAGACTACACCCCCACTTTTATAAGGCTTCTAAAGTGACAACAGATAGAGTTGGGGTGTTAAGAGGCAAAGCACTGAAACGGCAGCATTCCTTAACTTCAGTTATAAAAGGGTACAGGAGACAGACCATTGGCGCGTACCCACAACTCTCTACTCTTCCAACACACAAAACCACAGATCTTGAAGCTGCAATGTCAAAAAGCACTCAGGACTGACAGCATTCCATGCATGTCAAATTAAGGGGGTAGGGTGGGGCTTGTTGCTGAGTGACAGCCACTACTCCCTCCCCCATCAATAAGAAGATAAAAGAACAACGAGGGTAAGGAGGGGGACAAGGGGGACCAGACCTGTCACCAACTGCGCTCTGATGTCTGCAACCTAATCCCGCCTGTGCAGACAGTGTGATGGCTAAGAGGGAATGTGTGCGGCTTTTCTGTTCTGGGACCAGCTCAGCACCTCCTCTTCTCAATCCCATTAGATTTCCGTGGAGTTATAAACCACACAAACAGCTTCCCTTCCAGCATCTTTTTGTAACATTGTTACTCCCCGCAGTAAAATGTCCACATTTGCTGTGGTGCTGCAGATTTCAAGGACCAGCTTCTCCTTCACAACCTGTGCCCCCATGTCACCTCCCTTTGCAAGGGGGCTTAGGAGCTCCTCCTCCAGTCAAGGGCTAGATCTTTCTTTTTTACCTCTTGAATCTGGTCTATCTGCTTTGTCCAGTAGGATGTGGGAAAGTCACACTGTTGTTTTCAGGCTCTCAAAGAGCCCAACATGCTCCGTTTCTTTTTTCTTTTTCTTTTTTACAATCTATCCACTTTATAGTCTGATTGTTGCCCCTTCCCTCATTTCCTCCTGGTCCCACCCTCCCAACCTGCCCCCATCCCCTCTCTCTCTCTCCACTGAAAGGGGAGTCCTCCTCCCCTACTATTTGACCCTAGCCTATCGAATCTCATCAGGACTGCCTGGATCCCCTTCCTCTGTGGCCCAGCAAGGTCACAGAGGGAAGTGATCAACGAGTTCACTCAGAGGCAGCCCCTGCTCCCCTTACTATGGGAATTCCCATGGAGACTGAGCTGCCAATGGGCTACATCTGAGCAGGGGGTCTAGGTCCTCTCCATTTCTTAAAGCCATATTCCACACCAACAAGCTCAGACTAGAGGATGAAGACGCACGGAACAGAGTTAGCCATCCCTCAGGTGCCATCTTCCATTAGACAAAGGGCAGAGGACCACAGTGGAAAAATGCAGCAAACTAGCCGGGTACACCAGCTGGGCCTGGCCCAAATCATCACTCCCATCGAATCATGAGTTAAATCAGTGACTAAGCTACAAAATGGACATCCCTACATCATGTTTCAGATGGCCAACCAGTAAAACCAATACAAATATTTGCAAATCTGAAGGAAAAGAAAAAAAAGAAAAACCAAAACCAAGACACTTCTGACCCTAAGCTACTGATACTAAGCGTTTCCAGAAGTGATAGTCAACCCTTCCTAAGGTGGGAGTAAGGGGTTTTTAAGTTTTATTTGTATTTTCTGGCATGTGTGTCCATGTACCACGTTCATACAGTGCCCATAAAGGCCAGATCCCTGGGAGTGGAGTTAGAGACGGTTGCTGGTTGCCAAGTGGGTGCTGGGAATGAACTTGGGTCCTCTGGAAGAGCAGCCAGTGCTCTTAAGCGCTAAGCCATCTCTCCAGGATTTGCAGCAGCTTGATAAGCAGCCAAGTTAACTACTAATAGTCCAGCTGATGCAAAACGCAATTAAAAAGTTAGTTATCTAACATTTTTGACAATTTTTTCCATATTTTGTAATATAAATAACATCTATATTTTGATTTTGCTGCCACCTCCATTACTTCTGGGTTCCTATGGATTCTAAGTATAGAGATAAGTACTAGATATTCTGGACTACGTAAAGGTATGTTTTTTTTTTTTCTTGGTTCCCAAATAGTTGTAGTGATGAGCACACACATTCACACACATGCTGAAACACAGTACCACAACTCCTATGAGCAAAGCCAAGACTTTTATTATTTGCACAACTTCCAGCTCTGCTTTGATGCTACAACAGAATGCCTGTGACTAAGCAGAATATAGTATTGGCTTCTGCTGAGGACCTGTGGTCCCACAGCCTGGGCGGTGGCCTCACTTTGAAGAAAAAGTGGCAGGGTGCCAGCAGTCACCTTTGCTTTCTGACTGGTCACACATGTGACCGGCTGCCTTCACACCCCTGTTGCCATGGTGAACTGTATCTTCAGCCATAAACCCACATAAACCTGTCCTTTCTTAAGTCACTTCATCGGGCTTCTCATCATAGTAACAGAAAAAGCAGCTAATACATTAACTGCAGCACGCCCCAGTGTCTTTCCAGTGGCAGACAGTTGCTCTTCCCCATTAAAAATGTCTGTCACTATTTTCACGCTCTAATGAAACACAGGATGCCTTGTGTAAGTTCCTGTTTTTGTTTACTTTACAGCTACATTTTATTGAAGACATTTATTTGTACAAGTCCAAATCAAAGACGTTTTATTGGACAGGAAAGACCACATAAGCAAGAAACAAAGTTTCACTTTATTAAAGTTAATTAAGACGAGGAGGTGGGAACTTACTACCTCAAAGCAGACAAAACCAGCTGGTCATTAGATGTGACCTAAGCTTTGTTTGATTGGTGGATCGTCCGCCTGTTTCTTGTATTTCCAATGGGAGAAACCAAATACAGCCACTTTATAATCATAACTATTTGCTTTGCTTTGCTTCTGTGACTATGAAAGCACCAGGTACCCAGGGCCTCTTCCTGGCCACTGCCAATGGAGCCCCAGCACTTCTGTGAAACCATGTGATTCAGTTGCCTGATGTTCCAGATGTTATTGTGGTGGTCAGCAAGAAGGCTCAACAGGCAAAAGCACTTGTCACCAAGCTTGAGAACCTGAGTTCCTGGAACCCACATAGTGGAAAAAGAAAACTGCATCCCATAGGTGTTCTGACCTACACACACATGCACACTAAATGTAAAATTAGAAATATTTTTTTGTGGCTGTTTACTTTTTTGTTTGTTTTGTTTGGGGACTGTTATTAGGGATTGAGTCCAGAGTCTTGCACATGCTAGGCAAGCTCTCTGCCACTGAGCTACACCCACAGACAGCTAGCCTTGAATTCATCATCTATCTGCCTTGGTCTTCTAAATGCTGGGACTATAGGCATTCACTACCATGCCTGGCCTCAGTTTACTTTTAACAGCCTCAAAAGACAGACAAGCTTTAAACGCCATGAGAAGAGTTTGGTACTGGCAGATAGATGTCTTCACTTCCTCACCCCACTGTCATCTCTGCAATGAGAATCCACATTAATTCCCTTGGTGGATTTCACACGCACTCTGCCCTTCTGTACTAGGTCAAGACCTATGCTAGAAGAAAAGAGCTGAGACGTCTGAGACAAACCCATCCTTGACTTTCATGAGGCCAAACATGGGGTAAAAACATTGATCAACGTGTCATATGACAATTCTTCTGCACAATAGACAAAAGGCATATGGCATTAACATGAGCAGACACCAGAAGGTCTTGGATATGCTTAAGCCAGAGCAGAGGACATCTAACTTGGATCCACAGTAAGGAGTCACAATCAGGAAAATAGGAAACTTTAGGTCAACACAAGCAACTCACTAGTTAGCCGTGTGGCCTTGGGTACATCACTTAATTTCATGTGCTCTTGGTTTTCTTCATTGTAAATGAACTTCATGATAAATACCTTAAATGCTGTCATTGTGAGTTGAAAGGAAATGGCCATGTTTACTTTGGTCACCATCTGCCACAAGGGCAGGGCTTTGCAAGAATGGTTCATCAAGAAGAGCTTGTCTCCATCTGACTAGGCTCCGTGGAGGCCACCTGAAGGCTGGGCCAGCCTTATAGAGCTTCACTCACAGGTTGGTGGGCTGCAACTGGAACCAGGACCTGTTTTCCCTACAACATGGTGTCTCTCTCTCAAGACCACAGGTCCCAAGACAATCAGTAATCCAGGCAAAAGCCACATCCCTTTTGCTTTAGTTGCTTGTGATGTGTGTCAATTCAGTCACTAAGCCCTGCAAAGATTCAAGCAGAAGGAAAGTAGACCTCCCAATTGATGTAGGAGTAGCAAGATTCTGGAAGAGCAATAATGCCACTGTAACCATTTGTTGGACTGTGTCACAGTGATAAGAACTGATATTCTTCCATGCTTATTTCCTGAAAGGTAGAGATATACAAGTCTATCAAAAAAAAGAAAAAGAAAAGAAAGAAAGACAGAAAGAAAGAAAGAAAGAAAGAAAGAAAGAAAGAAAGAAAGAAAGAAAGAAAGAAAGAGGAAAGATCAGGCCGTGGACTAACTCTGTGCTCTTATGTTCTGGATGGTACCATCAGTGCCAATAGCAATGCCTGCCCCATTCAGCTCTTGTGACAACTAAACCAATTAACCTACTAAGGCTGTGCCTGACATGTGGTCAATTCCCTCTACAATGTACATAATTCTACTTTATATTCTTGGGGTTCCTAAAATATCCTGACTCTTGGGAGGCTCTGCTTCTGCTACATCATGAAAGGAATCCCGCTGCAAACACTTTCCACAGCAACCTTCCAAAGCTGGCACAGAATATACTCCAACTGAGGATGCAACACTTCGCCAGGCTTCCCGGCTTGTTACTGTTCCTTGCTGTTAGGACTGGAAATGGACTAAATCCCTAGGCTGCTGTGCACTTGGTTTCATCATCTCATTTTTACATACCTTGTCAGGCCAGCATCTCTCTCCTCTCAGGTCAGGGCTGGCCACCTTCAGTTTAGGCCTGTCTGCTGCAGAGTTCTGAAGGCTCAGAAATTTGATCTTTCCCAGTGGAAGTTCAGGTCTCCATCTGCAACATCCAGAATTTACTGTTTAGGATCTGTATACAGTTAAAAGCACCACGAGCAACCACACAGGTGGTTGGTTCCCTGCCTGCCGTAGGAGGACACTGATAGACAGGAACACAGGCATGGCTTTCTTGCCCATGCTGACCCCAGGCCTACCTCTGGACCAGAAAATGGGGACAGGGTCTCCTGAACCAACAATGCCCTCCAAATTCCCAGCTGCTGCTCAGAATTTAAAGACTCCAAATAGTATTCCTAAGACAGAGGATAGATTGACAGCCATCCTGTTGTCACTATCAATTATGTGACAAGCTTTCTTCCTTACTCTTTGCAGTACATGAGCTCCAAGGGGGGGCTTTGATCTTCCACTGTGGGCTTCCAGGGTAGAATCCCATGCAGCAACATACTTCATTGACAACTGTTCCTGTCAGTACCCTACCATTTCAAAAATGTCTTAGTACACAAATACAAGCATCACATTCATGAAGGAAAGCAAAACATAAAGATTATTCACTGTCGTCACTAATACCTATATCCTGGCACGAGTGGAAAGTTTAAATTAGATTCTTTCCCAATTGTTGCGAATATTCCAAAATTAAATAACACACACCAAAATCTTACTTTTCTAAATAAATAAATAATGCTAAGTGCATGTCCATTCCCTGTGCATTACATTATTAGGATGACTTACTAAGGTTGTTTCTTTCCTTTTCCTTCACATTTTCACACTATTTCTCTAACAGGCTACAGACCTCCTGTTCACTCCATGTAACTATCACACACATCCACCCTTCGCACCTGGCCTGGAATATCCTCCATGGCCTTCACCAGTCACTTAAGAAGATTCAACTTTTAAGCCTGCCACATCCAGAGTCCATCAGCACAGCGCCGACACGGGGACACGGGGACACGGGTGCAGGCCTGCCTTCAAAGCTCCTCACGCATTCCTGCACACAGTGGAGGCCAGGACTCCAAACCCACTTGACTTTCGCCCACAGCACTACATACAGGTATTTTCCCTCATGATCTGTTCTGACACCCACACGCGCAAGACAGGGACAATTTATGAAATACCACGTCACGCCCTTCTTCCCCGCTCCCCCTTCACTTTATTGAAAACCATGCTGGATGCACACCTCCGCCCACTGGCCGGCCGCCATGATCAGAGGAGGGGCAGGCACGACCCGCACCTAGTAACAGAGCTGCAACCCAGCACATAATTGTGTGTGATATGCACGTGTGTATGCAGGCGGGCTTATCTCTGCACGCACTTGTGGAGGCCTAAGGCTGACCTTGGGTATCCTTCTTACCAATCGCTACACCTTACTTTTTAAAAGCAGATCTTTTCACTGGTTCAGACAGACTGGCTGGTCGGTCGCTGAGCCACGGGCCCTGCCTGTCTCCTCCCTCCAGCACTGGGCACAAGCGTATACCACTACGCTGGGCCATCTTCTCAGCCTCCGGAACATACCTTAATACATTGTTAAAGATTACCCTTGAAATAAAAACTTACTTCAAGGGCTAGAGAGAGACTGGGCAAGAGCATCTGCAGAGGACCTGAGTTCAGATCCCAGCACGTCATAACTGCCAGTAACTCCAGCTCCAGCACATTCAACACCCTCTTCTGGTCTCCTCAGGCACTACTCACATACACACATGCATACACACACACACACACACACACACACACACACACACACACACACACTTAATAAAAATACATTTTTAAATCTAAAAACAGCAAACAAAGGTATGCATATGGTGCACACCTGTAATGCCAGCATTTGGGGAGGTAGAGGCACATGATCTCTTTGAGTTCGAGGCCAGCCCACTCTTCAAAGAGAGTCCAGGATAGAGAAGACTACACAGAGACAGCTTATCTTGAAGAACCAAAAAACAAGCAAGCAAACAAACAACAGCTGAGTGGTGGTGGCACACACCTCTACCCCAGCACTTGGGAGGCAGAAGCTGGCAGATCTCTGTGAGTCTGAGGCCAGCCTGGTCTACAGAGCAAGTTCCAGGTTAGCTAAAGCTACAGGGAGAAACCCTGTCTTGAAGAACCAAGAGAAACAGCCAAACAGAACAGCAAACAAACCAAATTACTTCATATATTCCAAAAGGTTGGTATGGGAATCTGAAAATAAGCTCTCGCTGTGGCTGCCCATTCGAACATCTTTATTATATATCAAACAACCAAAGCTGAACTCATGTTTACTTCCCATCCTGCCTGGGCTTGTTAAGTGTTTTCCACTAACTGTATTTCACACCTATATTTTCATGAAGCTTCTCCATATGAAAGATCCTTAGATGGCTCTGCTGTAGTTTCCCACCTGGACGACATCTCACTGTGTGTGCCCAGGCCCTTGCCTTATGTCAGCTCTTGTCTGAGCACAACAGTATGGAGCGTGAGGCAGGGCTTCATATCAGGACTGTCTGACTGGGTTTTAGACTTCTGGCACACACTTGCCATGTGGATTTAACAAAACGGCGTTCTAGGCGAGTGATAAAAGGTGCACGTGGTGCTCAGAGGAGGAGGCTGGTTGTCGCTGGCATGTCTAACAGTTCGCTGCAGTCTGGCATGGAGCCCTTCCCACACACCCTGCAGTGTAGGCTCCCAACATCTTTACCACATGGGCACAGCAGAGAACTAAACACTGCTCGACATGACCCGATTTACATGAATACTACTGTAGGGCCGCCCAGAGCTTCTCAAACAGTCTCTGGAGGACCAAGGCACGGAGTAAGGAAAATTATCCATCAGGTAAAATGTAACTGGATTGCTTCCAAAAGTACCTAACATTGAGAAATACAATGATTTAGGCAGCCAGAACTAAAGCATCTAACATAGAAGCACCACACAGAACTTACATGGAAGACAAATGACATGACAGAAAATTTTATACAGAAATGCTAAGCACTGGTCACTTCAAATAGGCCTCTGTAGAAGAAAAACAGATCCTTACACAGAGATGAGAAACAGGCTGCCCATAGCTCCTTCGAGGCAGAGGTAAGCAGCTGGAGTAGCTTGGGACAGTGTCCCAGCATTTATTTCCTCAGCAAAGGCAAGCTGCTGAAATTTGTTAATGAATTTGAACAAAGCTATGTTCCCAAAAGGAACAAAAACTTCTTCCCAACTTACTCGGGTTTCTCCACACACTTGAAATTCTCTAACAAACTATTGACCTTCAGGATTTTAAGTTATTTTAACTTTTAATTTCATTTCCATATGGAGGAAAGCCAAATTTGTGGGATTAGAAAGGATTTTCCTAATCACAACAACTTGATCAATAAATAAATGTTAAGTATCTATGAGCTACTTCGTAATGTGGGGAATTCTGAGTTATGATTCTCATTAAAAAAAAATACTCCACTTACTTATAAAGACTCTTACAAATAAAATCTTTCAAGGTAGCCAGGCCTGGTGGCACAGGCCTGTATTCCCTGCCACTTAGGATGCTAAAGCAAGAAGATCTTGAGTTCAAGTCTAGCCAGGGCTACAAAACCAATGTAAAACCAGCCTGGGCAAGCTAGTGATACCCTGTCAAACAGGAAGTAACAGGAGAGCTGGGAATGGAGCTCAGGGACAGCACTTGCCTAGCACATGAGATGCCTTGGTTTCAATTCCCAGGACTGAAATAACATCCTCAAGGCAAAAGTAAGAGGCTGAGATACCCACTAAGGTTTCATTTCTCAGTGTAGTTGCCGTTACTCTGGAAACCGCGGTAGTCGCTAATTTCCCCATGCATTCTGACAAAGTCACCTAAAAGGTTATGGTGTTGTGTTCAATGTCTCTGGGCATGGCTGAACCGGCTGAACCATTTCCTATGTAGACAGCAGGGTCAGAGGTTTGGAAAGGCTGCTCCAGGGAAGGTTTCTAACAGCTCTTTCATCACGTCTCATACACGTAGACTGTGAAGCCATCAGCTGTGTCTTAGGTCTATTACTGGTGTGGTTTGAATGTGCTCCTTAACAGTGTACTGGGCACTTAGCTCCTACAGCAAAAGTGTTTGGAGTGGGGCCTTTGGGTGGTGCTTGTGTCGGAAGTGTTCCATTCATGGCTTAGTGGGCTGGCAGGCACACTGGCTTTGTTACACAGGGGAGCTTTCTTGGTTACAATTGCTCGACTTATCATGGATGCCATCCATCAGGTTACAATGAAACAAAAAGTCTTCCCCCAGCCCCCGCCCCTCTAAACACCAACCAGATGCTGGCCTAGCATCAGACTCCTGGACTTCTCAGCCCCTAGCAGCATGACTTCAAAAAACCTCCATTCCCTATAAATTATCTAGCTAGGATATTCTGTGACAACATCAGAGAATGGATTAAACAACTGTTTTCCCCGACACGTTTCTACAAAAAGTAAAGTTAGGTAGGCTCATTTGTTTGTTTGTTTGTTGTTTGTTTTTTTAAAGCAAGGTTTCACAGTGTAGCTCTTGTTTTCCTGGAACTCACTCTGTAGACCAGGCTAGCCTTAAACTCACAGAGATTGCAACCTGCCTCTGCCTCCTGAGTGCAGGGACTAAAGGTGTGAGCCACTGCACGTGGCTGGTTCAGTGTGTGTGTGTGTGTGTGTGTGTGTGTGTGTGTAACCTAGTTTCTGTTGGTACTAAACACTGACTGTGGCATCTTCAAGTGTGGACCACACCTTTAGTTTAAGAATCTATTCACTTGACAGGCATGGTGGCACATGCCTTTAATGCCAGCACTCCAGAGGCAGGGGCAGGGGGATCTCTGTGAGTTCAAGACTCTACAAAGAGAGTCCAGGACATCCAGAGCTCTGTTACACAAAGAAACCTTGTCTCAAACAAAACAAAACAAGAATCTATTCCCTCATAATTCCATGTATGCAGTTCCTAGAAATTCCATGGCAACCACCATCTGGGATGCAAATCTAGCTTATTTCCCTTTCCCACAGCTTTTCTACAAAATGTAGACTCCCAGCTTTAAAGAGGTTACAGCATTGTTCCATATACTTAACTAAGGAGTGTGGAATAACAGAAAGTAAAACAGGTTCTTGTTGTTGCTTTGTTTTCTGCCACAAGATTTCTGAGCATCAGCAAGGGTTAAAGGATGTTTCAGGACCACCCCTCCCCCCAATCTTTTCATTTTCTGGTTTTGTTTGTTGGGTTTTTCCATAAATTAATTGTATTAGAAAAAAAGGTCTTACCAACTGCCTCGGTGTTTCTTTTGTTTTTATTTTAATTTAACCTTTCTCTTTGTGGTATGTAAATGGGTTTTGCCTGCCCGTATGTCTGTGCACCGTGTGCAGTGACTTTAGAAGCCAGAAGAGGCTCCTTAGAGCCCTCAGAGCTGGAGGGCTGGGAGCCACCTCGGAGTGCTGGGAATCAAACCCAGGTCCTCTAGAGGAGCAGCCAGTGCCTTTAGTTTTCTGTTACTATAACAAACACCCAAGATAACTAGCTGTAGAAACTCAGCCAACTTGGCTCACAGTTCTGGAGGCCTCAGCCCATGATGAGGTGGCCTGTGGCTTTTAGGCCTGAGGTGAAGCAGCTCGTTACGGTGCAAGGACCTGGCAGAGCAAAACCAAGAGCTCACTGTGGAGAAAATAGAGAGGAGGGGACCAGCATCCCTAACCTTTTCAAGGACACACCCCCGGGACCTAAGGACTCCTCAGTAGGCCCCAATTCCTACAGATTCTATTGCTTCCAAACATCACCCTGGGGGTGTGAACCTTAACCCTGGGCCCCTGGGACACTCACAGTCCATACTGCAGCGCCATTTATCTCTGGGCCAAAGGTTAAAGAGGAAAAGTAATACTGAGAGAAAAGCTAAGTGACCACTGCTGGAGTTAGGATCCTCTGCACCTGGGCTGTGCTATATGGCAGCCAGAAGTCCTAGGTGGCTTTTGGTCACTTGAACTTTCACATGTCCAAATAGAACAGTAAGCAGAGGTTATACATATTTGAAGTCTTAGTTAAAAAAACAAACCAAACCACGAACTACCTCAATAGTAGATGCTCATACTTATCAAGCTGAAATACCTTGAAATTCTTTTGTATTAAATACCTTATCAACACTAACTGTGTTTCAGTTTTTAACAAGTGCTTTAACAAAGTGTGTATCCGAATACGTCTTTCACACTGCGTTTCTACTGGACTGTGCCACCGCTGTTCTGTAATCATCCTCAAAGCTTTTCTAGACCTCAGTCCCTTTTTCCTGGGCTGGGGTACTGCTATGTTCCCACCACAAGCCCATACACGCACACACACAGAAACACCCTCACGTTACTTCCTGAATACACATACACCTTACACACCCCCACACAGTGGTGTTTTCTGAACACTATGTTCTATTTATACGGCACACACAGAAAGGAGTGCTGTCCAGCCCACACCACCTTGCCCTCTGCTGCCACCTCCTGTTACCATCCACTTGTCCTTTCAGATCTGTTTTCAAAGCGCTGAACAGGAACTATATTGAACCCTTTTGTCCCTCAATCCAACCGCACCCTAGGAAATCGGCAGTTTTGTGTCTTTGTTGCACGGAAGGACGAGTCCTGGACAATCCTGTGAGCTGGCTGGCAGCAAAGCCCAGATGTCCTTTGTAAAACTAGTCACCTTGGGCCCCTCCTTCGTCTCCTCTAGGCCCTGCCAGTGTTTCCGGCTGCTCTCCCTTCCTACTCACATCCAGCTGACTTTCTCCTGTGAGCCTTCTCTGCCCTGTGTGCTCAGGTCCCGGCCTACATGTCGCTCCCGGCGGGCATCACTCGAAATGCTTCATTACCGCTGTAAGATCTGTCTTACCCCCTCACTCCTCTGACGGCCACGATGGCGTCAACTTGTGTTTAAATCTCAGGGAGCCACACTCTAAGGCCTCTGCCAATATGTCATTAAGCTAAACTATGCTAAAATATGCTACTTGCTTGAATGCTCTCCCTATCTTTTCTTTATTTTGTTTTTTGAGACACATTCCCTCAGCATAGCTCTGGCTGATTTGAACTTCCCATGCAGCCCAAAATAACATCACACTCATGTGCCACCCTGCTTGGATCTCTCCACATTTTCAAATTTTTGTTTTTTGTTTTGCTTTGTTTTGTTTTTCGAGACAAGGTTTCTCGGTGTAGCCCTGGCTGGCTGTCCTGAACTCACTTTGTAGACCAGGCTGGCTTTGAATTCATAGAATCTACAAGCCCCTACAGGAGTGCTGGGATCAAAAGCATGCACCACCACACCTGGCCAAATATTTATTTACTTGTTTGTTTGTTTACTTTGTTATTGTTTTCTTAATGTTTGTTGCTGGTGGATTGTGTGCACACACAAAAGCAGGCATGGATGTGGAGGTCTGGAGGACTAGTCTCCTTCCACCCAGTAGGCCCACGGCTTTGTAGCAAGCGACACTACCCACTGAGCCATTTTTCTGGCCCTCTCCCTACACTTTAAAAGTAGACTTCTGCTGTTAAACTTGGGATTGGGTGAGGTGCCCACAGGTAGGACATGAAAATAAAGCCACAGCACGCACGCATGTTTTAAAGACCATTCCAATATGCTTCTCCTCCAAAGACCTTGCTGTTTTCCCTTCCAGCTCAGACTGTCAACTTGACCTTGTCAACTCCTCTGGCCATATCTCTAGAAGAAAGTGAACAGAAAGGAAAGAAGGAAATGCACATTTCTTTTTCAGTGTTACAGCAGGAACAGAGATAGCAGTTCAGAATAATTCTGAAAAAGAACATTACTGGCAATTTTAGAAGACTCTATCCCTATGTATCTATTGTCTGAAATGGATACAACATAACAGAATAAAGAAACACAGCTGTACTGGTAACCCATCCTAAAGAATCTAAGTCCTTGTGCATCAGGTGTATTTGAAATGTACAAACAGATCCCTAGCTTGTATAGACCTGAAGGCTACAAATGTCATCACATAACTTCTGAGGTCGCTAAAGAGATTCTCCCTTTTTTCTGTTGCTATGACACATATATTCCTACCAGTTTTTAAAGACATGGTATCACTGGGTAGCCATGGCTGCCCTGGAGCTCACTGTGTAGACCAGGCTGGCCTGGAACTCACAGAGATCCACCCGCATCTGTCTCCTGAGTGGTGGGATTAAAGATGTCCACCATCATACCTACTTCCACCAACATTTTAAAAAAGATTTATGTGTTTTTATTTTATATGATGAGTGTTTTGTCTGCATGTTGTATGTTTGTGTACCATGAGTAGGCAGTGCCCAAAGAGGCCAGGAGAGGCTGTCAGATCCTCTGGATTTGGAGTTACAGGTGGTTGTAAGCTCCCATGTGAGTGCTAAAAATCAAACCCAGGTCCTCTGCAAGGGCAATAAGTAATCACCTCTGAGCCATCTCTTCAGCCCTCCACCAATATATTTTTAATGCACCTGATTTACAATTTCTTTTGTTCTATTACTATAAAAATTTCATGACACTCTTCCCATGTTGGAGCATGACATTTGGGCTAACTTAATTAAATCTGTGTTCCCAGGACATGGCCATTTAATTTTTTATTTTATTTTATTTTGGGGTTTTTCAAGACAGGGTTTCTCTATGTAGCCTTGGCTGTCCTGGACTCAATTTGTAGACCTGCCTGGCCTTGAACTCAGAGAGATCCTCCTGCCTCTGCCTCCGAGTGCTGGGATTAAGGCACGCACCACTATGTCCGGCAAGAGTAAGCACTCTTTTTTTCTTTTTCCGATAATTTCTTTTATTTTTTTATGTGCATTGGTGTTTTGTTTTGCCTGCATGAGATTTTATGAGAAAATTTTACAATTTTCTCTCTTGTTTCACTTTCAGTTGTAACAGTAACTTAAAAAACAAAACACCCCATGGAGAGCTGGTGTGCAGTGGCTACAAAAGCAGCCTCTTTCCCTAAGGGACCTTCGAGACACTTTCCTGGCTGCTATCCCTGTCTCTAATCTCAGTGCTGTCTCGTCTAGGCTCGGACAGGCATGCACACCTTTGGGAAGCCCCGAGGCAGTGGCCAGAGTTCACATGCACCAGGTGGTCACGTCCAAACTGCATAATAAGGAGCATATCACTCCCACACTGCCTGGGACCAAGGGCCGTTTCCCTGGCCGTCAGATGATCCACACCTGAAGGAAGCTGGGCTTTGGTCAGCTCAATGCGGGTGGACCTGAAGATGCCGCGGCCGAGAACTGGCTGGTTCCCGACAGCTACAGACATAAAGATGCTCTTAGCTGGGCTGCCCTGGGCAAGTGGCGGGCCCTGAATCCTACCACGTTCTCCTCTGTCCTGCCATCTCACGTTCAGGAATAAACCTCACATCCACGGAAAAAAGATCCGTTTCATACCGCAGTGCAATGTGCTGCGAATGCCTGCATCTCTCCAGCTTCGTCCCATCCACGGAGAAAGCAAATAGTTCTAACAATCTGCCCCATAGCTTTGGCCAAAAGCAATGAAGAGTTCAAGCTTCCCAGCTATAAAACAGAAAGACAAGAGGAAAAGGAAGTCATCTAAAAATATCTCAATTCTTCTTCTGGGGAAAGGTTAGTTTATAAGTCATGTCTAAGAGGGCCATAAGTCTTCTCAGAAAAAAACACATGTTCTGGAATGTCAGCTTCTTCAAAAAGTGTCCAAAAACAAGAACAAATGTAAAAGTTGTTAAGCAAGCTGCTGTTTTTCTCTGGAACTTGTTGTTATTCCTTAAAGATTTATTCATCCTAATTATCCACTGTTGTTAATAAGACCACAAGACTCGGTGGTTCAAAACAATGCTCATTTTCTCGTTGCCATGGTTTCCAAGGGTCTGGAATTCCAGAGGAATTTGGCAGAGCAGTTCTGGCTGAGAGTATCAAATGAGGCTGTAGCCAGATGGTGGCTGGAGCTGGGACATGAGGTTGGGGGGGGGGGAAGGAGGTGTGGCCTGGAGGCTAGCAAGTGGTAGGTCATGGCTCCACGTAGTTTGGGGCTTTGTCATTGGTTTCTCTGGTTAGCTGCGGCTTCTTCATAGCATAGTAGCCTCAGAACAATCTAACAGCTTCGAGGATGCAGCTCACAGATCCAGGAAGAATGAAGCAGAAAGCAAAATGGACACCGCAAGATCTTTTCCTTTCCAATTTATCCTCAGAAGAAAGGTGGCAAAATTTCTGTCCCATTCTACTGGGCACAAGTAAGTCACAAAGCCACACAGGCTTGAGGGGACTTAGATAAGGCTTTCCACCATGATGGGGCAGTGTCCAGGAGAACACACAGGCTGAATGGGTGCTGCTGTAAACTCTGCCACACAGCAACAATGACTGCAAAGTGTCACATGCGAGGATATTGTCACCACTCTCATTTTTCTTTTAAAAATTATTATTACTATCATTATTTTATGTGTCTGAGTGCTTTGCCTGCATGTATGTCTGTGTACCGCTTGCACGCCTGGTACTTGCAGAGGACAGAAGTGGGCCTTGGATGTCCTGGAGCTGGTATTATAGATGGTTGTGAAATGCTCCTCCAGTTCTGAGAATCATACCTGGATCTTCCGGAAGAGCTCTTAACCACTGAGTCATCTCCCCAGCCTCACTTACAGAAAATGATACTGTACGACAACACTCATAGTGAGAAATGCCTCGACTCTCAAGCTCTCTCTCCTTCAGGCTGTAGTTCTGCTTTCATTTTTCTGCTTTCTGGGTTTGCACTGTTTCCTTTACTGATGGGGTACAGTCAAGGGCACCGGCTGGCTAGGTTTCCTGATTCAAACACGCCCTCTAGTGTTGAAATCATGTCATTTCTTTATTGGCGGTGTGGGCTCTCAGGGTTGAAATCTGTTGTGACTGCTCTTTGCTCTCTGCGGGATCCTCAAGTTTTGTATCTTTTGTTGACTTTCTCAACATCATGACGTCTCCAGAGACAACTGTCTCCAGCACCCTTCAGAGTCCACGTCCCGCCCTGCCTCACCTCAGCCTGTCACTCTCCTGTCCTCCACTTTCTTCCATTCAGTGCTCCCACAGGCTCCAGCGCCTGCCTGGTCTTAACTGGGCTCCTATCTGGACTCTTACAGAGAAGCTGAACTTTGTAGAGTTCTGGTTCTTAGCACCCTGAGGGGCTGTATAAGAGATTGCTATAACTTCTCTCTTTATAGATTAGGGTGACTTTAAGTTTTGAGAAGAGGTCTGGAGCGAGGCAAAGGCCATAGTTCTACTCCAACTCAGAGTGTTATATGATAAAATAATAAAATGCCACTTATTGCATTTAAGAACATCATTTTCCCAAACCTATTTGTTCTACACCATACAGTATTTGTTAGCTCGGTATCCTTAGGAGGGTAAGTTCCAGGGCCCTACAAATTCCCAAAACTCACATTTTCAAGACCTTTACATGAATGGTGTCCTGCATATAATCTGTGCACATCCTCCTGTGTAACTTCTTTTTTAATATATTTTTATTATTCTACGTGTCTGAGTGTTTTGTCTGCACTTATGTCTGTGTAAACCCTGCAGAAGCCTGAACTGGGTGTCAGATCCCATAGCATTAGAGTTACAGATGGTTGTGAGCTGCCATGTGGGTGCTGGGAATCGAACCCTGGGCCTCTGTGAAAGAAGTCAGTACTCTTAACCACTGAGTCATCTCTCTAATGTCAAATATTTTCTATCCAAAGTTATTCAGATTGTTGGACCCAATTAACCCAGCCAGTATAGTCAACTGTGCATATATGTGTGTGTGTGTGTGTGTGTATGTGTGTGTGTATATATATACACATATACATATTTCTAAATAAGTAACGTTTTATAGTAACACACATTCATGTGTACACAATTGTTTAAATTCCTTTCTGACCACTAAAACATAGTGAAAGCCAAAATTCTTTCATTCTGTTAGCTATTGCCAAGACAGAGAATCTTCCTGTCCCAAACATGGCATGCCCTTGATGGCATCTTATTTCTGGAAAAGGATCACCAGGAGCACCACATTTGGTTTGTTTTCAAGCTGTTTTTGGATGAGGTGACAGATGCTGACATGGAGCACAGCTGTCTGGGGCCATACGGCTCAGATACAGGCCAGCATGTCACTATGTTAACCTGGAGCCTCAGCCCTGGAGAAAACAATGTAGATGAGGCTGTGTCACAGTGCCAGCCTCCTCATTGTTCGCCTGAGGACATACAGCCCTAGCTCATTCAGCAGGCCTGAAATACTGAGCATCAAAGCCCAGTCCCCAATAACCTTCACCCTGCGGCTGAGGGAGATGGCCAAGAAGAGCAGCTCAACACCCTCCCACTCTCAAATGAACAGGACGTGGTTTCTGGGACGCACAATCCACTCCATGCCCCTGACTCCCTCCCATCTCTCACAGCCTCATTCCCTCAGGGGTCCTGGAGACCATCCCGAAGTAAACTATATCCAGTTTTCCCCACAGAGATGGGAAGAGAGACACCAAACTGAAAACGCATCCAAACAGGGCAAGAACAAGAGGCAGCTTTGGATGTGGGGCCCAAAGACTTGAAGGCCCAGGGAAGACCCTGAGAAATCCCTGGAGGAGAATCTCTGTGTCCTCAGAAGGAGGTGAGCAGAGGACCCTGCAGTCTGCGACAAAACCTTGAGTGCAGTGTCTTCTCGGGAAACCCACACTGAATGAATTGAAGGATGAGGGATTTAGTTTGAGAAAATCACATTATTGGAGACCCTGTTCAACATGGAAGGTGTTATAACTCTAATGTCATTTGTTTTGTTCTGGTATGACAGAACACTGGCACCAGGACAGGTAGAAGCTATGCTCTGCAGAAGTTTATTAGGATGCTGCCATCTTGAAAGGGAGCCCATTGTTTAAATCCGATATACACTTGGGGCCAAACAGCAAGAAACAGTAAGAAGCCAGGAAACCTGGAGACAACGTGTCACATCTTCAGGTGACAGCATGGCAGATAGCCTGATAAGCAATCATGGAGGGGAAGGAGGCTGGATACAGACACCCTGAGGAGCTAAAGCCAGAGAAGGTCACCTCAGGGAGTGAAGGGTACAATAGGCGTCAACCCTGTCTTCGGAGTTTAATGCCCATCACCTGATAACTGCAAAGTCCTGACAGCCATGGTCCTGAGGTCAACAAGTATTCCATCTTCTAGTGACATATATATTATTACATATTATATATTGGACATATAGTTTCCTGCCATTGGGACTGAGAACTCTAAAGTCCCTGAAAAATAAAACAAACAAACTAGGAATAGAAATAACCTACTCCATAAACCTGCAGCCAACATCGCACTAAGTGGGAACAGCATTTCCTCTAATATCAGAACGAGACAACTCTGTCCATTCTGTCCTCTCTCACTAAAGACTGTGTTTCAGGTTTTAACAAAGAGCAACAAGACAAGAGAGAGACATAAAAGCTGTGGGAACAGGAAAGAAGAACCCAAACTACCCCTGTTTGAAGACAACATGACCCTGTGCCTAAAGGACCCTTCCTGTCCAACCAGAAAACTTAGACTTGATAAATTCTTTCAGCAAAACATCAGGATACAAAACCAACACACGAAAACCAGAAGCATTGGGCTAGGGAGATGGCTTGGTGGTTAAAGGGCTCATCATGCCAAGCATGAAAACTGGGGCTTCAGTTCCCAGAACAGAAGTAGACACCTGCATGCACACCATACAAATATACATACGGAGGTTTTTTTTTTTTAATCACTAGTTTTTCTACATACCAACAATTAACTTACTGAGAACAAAATTAGAGAAAAATGCCATTTACAAAATACAAAAATAAAATGACCATGTACAAACTCAACCAAGGAGGTAGCATACTTCCATGAGGAAAACTGTACAATAGTGTAGATTAGAAAAAAAATTAGGAAAAGACTAGAAAAAGGAAGACCCTGTGTACTCATGGGTCCGCAGAATTAATACTGCGAAGATGGCTATTACCAAAAGCAATGCATACATCCGACACACACCCTTCAAAACCCCAGTGACACTCATCACAGCACTAGACAGCAATCCTAAAGAGCCCCGAATAGAAATAGAAATCCTGCACAGAAATCAGTTCAAAATGGTCCAAAGCGCTTAATGTAAGCTCTGAAATGCCGAAATTGCTAGTGGAAAAGACTGTACCACTCTAAGGTTTTCTGGGCACTCTAATAGCTTAATAATAACAAGACTTGACCAGTGCGATTGCTTGAAATTAAAAGCCTTTTGTATAGCAAATGCAGTAATAGCCAGCTGTTGTGATGAACACTTTTAATCCC